GGTCTCATCCAATATCGAGTACCAAATGTGCATATGGTAGAACGAGAAACAAGCAAAGCAGGCTGATTAACCACCTGATCGAATTTTAGAAATTTTAGGCCTGGATGGACCGTTGACCAGCTCAAACCAGTGCGAGGTAAAGGTGAATGCTGTACAGTGAATGCATGTTCATTTCAACTAGTGTGCCGAGACCTTACTTCTCAACCTTCAGGAAAGTACATTGTCATTTGCAAAATTATCTGTCACAAAGTGAAGATATAAGGATTACAAATTTCAAGGAATTTCAGACAATCTCCAGCAAAAGAAAAATGCTGTGTCCTCTAAAATAGCACAAAACAGTAATTAATAACAATCACAAGTTCACAGGAACAAGGTATTTGGTGACACCCTACAAAACATGTTTTTCTTTCAGTTCCGTAAATTACATTCATCTTTTTTTCTGGCATATATTAAGCAAATTTAATTTAAGAAACTCATTGCAATTTCTTCTTTTTATACAATTTTTAAAGAAAAAAATTATTTCCTTCATGAACTTGAATTATTTGCTTATTAGGGAAGCTTTTTTTATTTTACAGCGGTTTCTGGAGAAATGAAAATGCTATATTCGTGTTATGTACTGTTCGATATTTGTACAAAAACTTCCAAATATCTTACCCAGTGTAAGAAAATCGCTGCCAGTTCAATAGCTGGTGAGAGGGTGGATGCCTTTGCCAGCAAGTCTATCTGGTCCAATACCATTGTCCCGCCCAGCAAATTGATAAGAATAATCAGAACTTCAAGGAGACCAAATTGGAACTACATCCCTGTCCCTTTCTCTTCTACTACTACTGGATGATTCAGCTGTTGAATCTTCGGAATTCCTTCGACCTCTTGTAAAATAAAATTGTGGAAAAGCATTATTGGTACTAATTGTTGGCATAGTAGCATGTCCCAGTGGTTCTTCTCTCGGCTCTTCGACCACATTTACATTTATAGGTACTTCCGCTCTGCTATCAAACACAGTGTTTCCTAGATCAATATAGGTCTCTTCATCCTCAACTCGAACCAAAGACGAAGTCATACTCGGGACCATCTGATCCTCGTACAGTTGAATTCTTGTACCTGTTGGGTTATTTCTGATAGTTTCATTTTCCATCTCAGTTTGCATGTCTTGAGGAAATGCAATAGGGGCAGATTCAGATGAGTCTCCAAGTCCCTCTTCCATTCCATTATCAGTTTCTGCCTCGTGCTGCCACATCTGTGATAGTGCTTCCTGCAACCTGGCTTTTGCTGCATCAATTTCAACAATGGGAAGAGGATAATTGGAACCGAGTTCAATTCCAGCAGCTTCGAGAACAGATTCTGGTGCATTCCAAGGGTGATGTATCCATTCAGTTGGCAATCGAGAAAGTTCAGGAAGCCATCGCCGAACATACTCTCCATTGGGATCAAATTTGTATCCCTGAAGCTGTCAAATGGAACAGAATATTTACAGCTCTTATTAAACATTTTCAAGAAAAAGGTGTGTGATAATGAACTGCAATCGAGAATTGTCAAAAATTTGAGGAGTTTTCACATCTATTGTTGGTTCAATTGCATGTAAAAGTCAGTAAATACACCATGTAACTGAATTTGTAAGAATTGTTAGATGCAGTACTGAATTTTTAGCTTAAAGGCGTCTTGTTTCATCGTAAATTTTGAGGTGTTAGAGAGGACAAACTTATTTAGTGCTCGTTTGGTAAAGATTAAAATCCAATTAAAATTGAAAATATAGCCGTTATTGGGTCTCACTCGTCTAATAAAAGTCAACAATAGCTGCTGATTTTTCAATTTTAATCCCATTTTAACATCTACCGAACACACCCTTATATTATGTCTTCAGCACACCCCCTTGCACGTGCAGTGGATTCACATTATGCAATGGTGAGGGGGGGAGAGAGAGAAATCCGGACTAGAAGTAAACTAAGCAAGAATTCATGAAAATGTCATCAATACATACCCGTGGGTTATCAATACGATCAAACTTACGACCATCCGGAAGAGTACCAGATATATACTGCCAACCAAGAGCATCACTCTCAAGATCTGCGTCCAATAAGGTATCCCAGAAATATTTCATTCCCCATCTCCAGGGAAGCTGCAGCACCTTCACAAAGAAACTAGAGACTACAACTCGTATCCTGTCATGTAGCCAGCCAGTGGCCCACAGCTCTCTCATTCCAGCATCCACCAGTGGATAACCAGTTCTACCTTGTCTCCATGCCTTAAAAAGGCTCTCATCCACTACCCATGGGAAATATTTTAGGTGACCAAGTAATGGCCTTTCATGGCTATAGGGATGATTGAAACTCATGTATCTTGAGTATTCTCGAAGGCCAATACTCTTGAGGAACAAATTGACACTCTCTTCACCTTCTCTGTTCCCATCATTGGCCCAGAGAACTTGCTTGATCCGAACAAGATGAAAGACTTTCCGAACACTGACTTCCCCAAAATGCAAATGAGGAGAAAGAAATGAAGTAGTAGCACTATCAGCCTTTCTACGGTTTTTTGAGTAATCTATGAGTACTCCATTGATGAAGGTGGTCAGGGCCTTGTCAGCATTGCTCCACCCAGGTGACCATGCTCGAGCAAGAAGTGCATTGCTTCCTTTCTCGGAGTCATCTTCAAATACTAAAGTGTCTGAAGGACATCTTGACAAATCACCTGGAAGACATCAAGCAATGTTTTATGGCAAAATCCTCGAACAAATTTGCGATAAAAAAAAGGCGGACAATGACTGTTCAACATAAAGCACCTGTTTGGACTCCATTTCTTAAAACTCATTTTTTCCAACACATCTTTAACCACACATTTTATGGAATCCACAACTATCAATTTTTCAACCACATATCCAACTTTATCAACAGCTACTAAGCTTGACTATATTATTAATTTTTACCCAATGTCTCTGATGTGTGTTAGTTTGACAGGTAAAGCTAATTGGTCAGGATGTTCATTTGAGTAAGTTAACATTACTTACCAAATACGCAGCAGAAAAGGATAAAGTCTCTCACTTTCTCTCCCACTCTTTCCTTCTGCATCTCTTTGTAGCACATGCTCCATGGTTTTAGCTACTTATTTTATCTCCCACATTGTTGTCTCTTTCTAAGCTCAATTCTAACATCTTATGTTAGGATATCCTCAAGTTGTAGACACTTGAAAGTTCAATTATTCTGAAGATGAAATTGCCCATTTATGTAGCCACATATCAAACAGTCTTCTCTACATTTCTTCAATTAGTTTCTAATTTTTCGTCATCCTTAAAACCCTAACTGCCCTTTATTATTCCCCTTCTGTGTTTCTCTCTCACACTTCCTTTAAGTCATAAACAAAACACTGTTAATAAAATGGCTAATGCAAGCAAGTTTTTGCAACTTGAGTTTCACAAAAATATTATCATGAAACAACGACAGTGTTTCTTGTCAATCATATGGATCCAGTCCAAGGCCCAAAGATCATTTCCATCCAGACACAAACTAAGCCAAGTATATACTTTGACAGTAGAGGTTTGCACGCCATCATTTCCTTGCACATCCTCTTGGGATACTACACTACATGACCACTCAATAAACAATTTCCATCGGTTCCCAGCCAAATAAAGTATGTGCCAAATAAAAGATCACGTGGATAACAATTGTGTGAGACAGATGCTAATTTATAGGGAAAACGAACAGATCCATTTAAAAATGCTTGTCACTTTATCGAGTTAATGTGTGTCCACTGGTATAATAGTTGTACTAGTCATCTTGAGTGTCATCCTGTGTGTGTCATGTTTAGTAAGCTTGCTAACTAAGAATATATGTTAACATACCAATAAGTTTAGATTATATTATAGGAGGCCATATATACTCTGCAGGGGCAAGACAAACAGATACCTCTTCTCGATTAATTTACTTCCCCATATACTATAAAATATAATTGCACTCATGATCATATAAAATTTCCTTATTAAAACCTCTCTAGCAGTTGCATTTCCTCTGTGGTATCTTGGGGTCAGGCCATTCTTCCATCATCCATTTAGTTCATAGAAAAATTAGGACAGCTTAAACACCTTTCAATTTCTAAGTATAGGTGAAAATCTTGTATTTCAACACTTTATCTTCAATATAAAAACGTATGATATGTGGTTGTCCTGCAAAAGGTCCTCTGCGTTAGAAATCCTAAGGCTAGAAGATATCTGTTTCAGCTACTCGTTTCTCATTTAGGTCTACATCAATACCTCCCAAGTCTCTTTTAAAAAAAAATTTCTATACTATCCAGATGAAGAATGTAAAATCCCATTACTAATTTTCCTCATCTAAATCCTTATAAAGGAAAATTTACACAAGACACCCTGTAGATAGTATATATTTACACTTCAAATACCATGATTTTCAATATTTACATTTTACATACTATAGTTTACTAAGTGGTAACAAGAAAATTTACATTTTTAAAAGCATGTAACATTTTACATACTATCTCTTTAATTATTATGTCATTCTTTTTTATTTTATTTTTTATAACAGTGGATGTCCGGAATTATTATGTCCTTCTTCAAAATTTAATTACAATTTACTTACCAATTCATTAATTATTATATCACTCTTCCAAATTAAAACACTAGAAGCCGTGATATTAATTAAAAAAAAATTCTTATAAATTTTATTAAATTTATTTCCCTTGAGTTCCAACTTAAATAAATAAGTTAATAAAATATTTTTAAAAAAAAAACTTCATTTGATTTCTTTATTAACATTGTAAAATGGATCTTGTTGTCATATTTAACAAAAAGGGTTATGTTCATTACACAAAATTACATAAATCATGAAAAATAATTTTTGAAATAATTTATTTTATTACAGCTTAAAAATAATTTTTTCTTTATTTTAAATTGAGTTATTAGCATTATATCATTCTACAACCTGAAATCTAGTTAGGAATGTAACCGTAAATTTATTTTTATTTTTATTTTTATTTTTATTTTTATTTTTATTTTTTCCTGAGATCAAGCTGAACAAAATATGTATGAAGATATCAGTTTTTTATATATATATATATATTTTTTTGAAACTTAAGAAAGATAAAATATGTTAATAATCTAATCAAGAGACTCTACAATATTTTAATTTATGGAGAGATACGTGAAAGAAAAAGAAGAATATTTTAGATGATAATAATTTAAATCTTGAAGAATTGTAAAATAGTTAAAAAAATGTGAAGCTTTACATAATATAAAATGTAGGGTGTGATTTGTTATTCTTAAATAGGGATATTTTAGTACATGCAATTGTTTATAGAGGGTGTAGTTTGTAAATGTCCCTAAAATATTCATCTAAAATCTTAAAACAATCATTAGAAAAAGGGAAACTATTCTCTCAAAGTTTATGATATCAATTTCAAAAAACTTTGCTGAAGGTTATTGATGAATTTGCCAACGACACACTAATAATGCAGTTACTAATTTCACATGAATTATATGAATAAGCGAACTAAGTTCCCCAATCAAAACAAAGTTTGAACAATATTAACCTTACATATAGTAATTCAATATCTGCTAAATTGAAAACCTCACGAAGACGGTGTGTACAAATTGTTTCACAGAGTATCTCAACCACACATATCTTAATTATAAGAGCAATAATGTTATTTACTCAAACGAGAATCAAGTGGCATGCAAACACTAGAAAACAAATTAAAAGGGATTAACAAAAAAAATTAATGGGAAAATTATAATCCTAAAAAAAAAAAATCCATGGAAAATATTCAAGTTTTCCACGTAAATTTACTAAGCATGAATACAGTGCATTGGCCCATTGTGTCATCATCTAATCTACATTATTATACAGTATTTTGCACACGTTTAACACCCTTATGTTAACAGTCCCATATAAATGGGTTAAGCACATGTTACATGTTAGTGTTATAGAAAAATAATTCAGATCGTGCCGTTAATGGGACCTTTTCATTAATGTATTACAGGTCTTATGAGTAAAATTGAAACATAATGTTGGCATAATGAAAAAAGAAACAATTTTTCTTTGAAAGTAGCATGTTTATCAAACTGCAACATTTCCAAAAGAATGTGATGTTATGATTGTAAAATTGTAGTGATAATGACACTGACCTGAGATAATTCTTTTAGGTGGAAGGAGTGGGGCTTTGGGATCATACAACATGCTAAGGCATCTCTCCCAAAATGCGGCAAAAGTTGTGAATGGGTGACCTTCCTTATCATGAACTTCCCAGGGTTCATAAAGCAAGTCTGCATTAAAGGACCGAACAGATACACCTTGAGCTGCTAAAATTTCCTTCGCTTTGTGATCTCTCACTAATGATATGGGATCTAGAAAAAAGCAGATATATTAGGCATCACTTGGTTTACCCAATCTGCAAACTAAAATTTTGTGGCATCTTTGGTGCGTAAGAGTCGAAGCACAATTAACTAATCTTATAACGTATATTCCTTCTCTTTAATTCTGTTCAATCGTGTCAAATCCAGCGTACCAAACATGCCAAGCATACCAAGCATGCTTTTAAAGATTAAAAAACAGCATAATATACTAATTACAGGAACATATTAAGGGTCTGTTTGTTTTTAATTCTCAAATTCTACAGTAAATTAATTCACATTTTCAATCATACATTCTTCAATAAAATAATATTTTCCATCACATCAATAATTTTTCTTCTTTTTCAACCACACATTTCTCATTATATCATTATTCAAAAATCAATTCTTCTCCCAAAAATCTCTACCAAACAAAGAATAAATAAACTTAACATCATTAAAATATGCTAAACAATATTCAATTTTCAATTGGATCAAAACAAACCCAAGAAACTATGATTGATATAAAAACCATAATAAGCCTAATAGCCCGTATAAATCAATACAAGATTATACCCAGAAAGTCAATCGCGGATAACATACAACAATCAATACAGGAAGTATTGAAACTGACCATATAAATGGTTGAAGAAGAGCTGAGTAGCTCCAGTAGATTTGACAACTTCAAGAAGAGAAGAAATATAATCAGTAGATCTTTTGGTGACAAGAGAGGTGCCAAGTCTCCTCAAAGAGAGATCAAGATGGGCCAAACTCTGCTTAAGCCACCATCTTGACACCCTTCCAGGATAGTAATGCCCTTCTTCCTCAGGTGCCCATATAAATACTGCCACCACTGCCCCTGCCCTTACTCCGGCAGCTAATGCTGGATTATCTTCCACTCTCAGATCTCTCCTAAACCATACAATACTGCATCCTCTACCTGACATCCCTTCAAGTGTTTGAAAAAATGCCACAAAGATCAAAAGCACTTTCTATCTCCGCTACCTACAAGCCATTATTGCATCTTCAAGTGAGCTTTTACTAGTCTTATCCTTTTTGGGCGTTCATCAAATAACACTCTAGATCATCAGTGTTAAAGACCATCTTTTGTGGAGGGATGGACAATAAAGAACGTATCTTTAATCTTTCTTTGACTTTATTACATATCCACGTGAATGAATTCAATTCTCTCAATTTTGGGTGAATCTTGATTTCCTCGAGATTGTGGGCAGAACAGCCGAAAGACCCAAAGAGCAAAACAGG